CAGGCATTCTCCCAAGGACTTTCCATGCATTTCCAATGAACTCCCTTAATTTTCATAGTAAACTCATGTGGTGGAAACTATCACTGTTCTCAGTGTAGGGAGCGCTTCTAGAACTTCATAAATGTTTTCTACTCTGTTGCATCTGCCTGTGGAACTGCAATTCTAACATGCTATTCACCTCTGTTTTAAGCAGTTTTCAAAATCTAGTGCTATCTTCATAAGCTTTGGTTTAAGGAGAGACAGTTGAGCAAAACTCCTTTAGGGGACCAGATAAGACAGAACATTAGACATGCAGTCTATTCTTGTTCATATTATAGAGGAGGAACCTCAGTATATGTGATTTCTTCCTGGTTGTTTTGTGCTATGCCACATAGGAGGTGGGGCACAAATGGATGAACCAAATACCACAAATTTTTCTATTAATTTTGCTGGGATAGTCTCATGGCTTTATAATGGCTTGGGTGCTCTAACTTCTCAGCTGGTCTTTAGAGTTCTCATAGAGGTATTCTGCCCACATATTTTTGTTAACTTAGTGTTTATGTAGGAGAAGAGTCTGTTATTACTCTGTAATATATAGTTTTATATCTTGACATTTTCTGGGTTTTGTTTGTTTGGTTATTTTTGCTATAGAGTGCATGTACTTGCTGGAGAGACAGAGAGAGACAGAAAGCAAGAAATCACCCCTCCCCCCAGGGGAGATGGCCATGCCACAATCCCTTTTCCTTCATTCTTCTCTCAGGCTCTTGGGCACACATGTACACATGCCTGGTGTGAGTTTTAAGCCCCTGGGTCCAGAATTTGAACCACAGTCAACTACACGGGAGTCTAGTAATGTAATCATTATGATCATTATGCCATCTACTGGTCCCAACATTTTCTGCTTTTACATTTTATAATGTGGTGTAAGGAATATTCTATATTGCTTTTTGTAGTCTATTACCTAAACCATAACAATTTCTTTAAAAAATGTATCTGTATCCAAAGATTAGAATAGGGAACCTAAGCACCTCACCTCTGACCTCACCACCATCACTGTATATATTTCAGTCTCTCTGAGCTGTTTATTTTGATTTTCTTAATCATTATGTCAGATTATTTCTGATCAGTGTTGCCTTATTTTAATATTGCCATTTTATACAATATACTAATAGCTAGTACAGCTTCCTGCTCCCCTTTATCCATCTGTTTTCCTTCTTATTTCCAGGAGGACTAATAACAACTAATGCGGCTAACATATGTTCATTCTTTACTAAACACCAGGCATGGTACTAGGAACTTAACCTCTAACAGCCAACTTAGTTATAGTGCTTATTAGATTCCAGGCATTCTCCCAAGGACTTTCCATGCATTTCCAATGAACTCCCTTAATTTTCATAGTAAACTCATGTGGTGGAAACTATCACTGTTCTCAGTGTAG